CTATACCAGCTGGACGCCCTCGACGTCTCTATTATGAGTTGCTGGATTTTGTAAGTATCGTTCAGTTAGATTTCTTATTACGTTTCCTTTAATTAATTAGGTCCTTGTATATAAGTAGACTATATATAATATATACTTCCTTTTATCGTTGTAGAATGGAGATTCAAAGGGCCCGACGGCGGGGGGTTTTCGATACTGGATTCATCGACCCTCGGAAAGTAAACGTCGCAATGCTCGACCAGTATCCGCAAGCCACAGAGGACAATCTCGTCCATCTCCTGAAGGCGCAGCATTACAAGACGTTCATACTATTGCCATACAACAGACAGAGTTAGTTTTTACTGTCTTCCTATACCAAATTTCATTCCCGTACGAACATGCTAAGTGTTTCATATGTAATGCATCCGATGCACATTGCAGATTCCACTGGGTCCTTTTACTCTTCGACTTGGAGGCCTGCACCGTCAACGTATATGACTCAATGGATAAAAAAGAGTCTACGTTTGACAAGGTTTTCGAACTTATAGACAGGTACTGTCATAAGTTCCTATATTAATTAAGAATCTTGTTATAATTAATTGCTACTACGAATCATAGCTTTAAACTCCATGTAGGGCTTGGTATCGGTTCCGTCATTTGGTCCGCGGCAAGTGGAGAGAAAGACTTAGGCGGAAGTTTAATTTTCCTGTGAGTACACATACTCTACATTTATATTGAATCTCCAATTCAAATACATACAAGTGTATATTAGTTAGATCTCTCACCGTTTGTCATTTATTTATAGTGCGCAAAGCAAGCCCAGTGAACTAACTTGTGCGGCTACTACGTGTGCGAGTATTGCCACTGTCTTGCAGACCAAATCATCACCACAAGAGAGCTCGATGTACGTACAAATAAATTCAAAATTTCATTGCGTACGTATCGATTTGTTGTTTACTAATTAATTTCATACATTCATATAGTTTATTCGTATGAGGGATAACCTCACACACAAGGAATTTATCGCGGCGGTTCAAGAACAACTCATGGGATTCATCAACGAACAAATCCTTGATCCCAAGGGTGAATTCTACTATGACGGAAATACAATTCATAGGTCCTTAGCTTCTGAGATAACGACTACTACTACGTCGAAATCGTAGCTAGCTAGGACATCATAATGGATTGTAATTAATACATGTCTATTTTTCTATATGCATGTACACATTTTCTTTAATGTAAATATATATTTTGGTCATATATATATATATATATATATATATATATATATATATATATATATATATATATAGACACACACATATGCATTTGCATAACATATATATATATGTATAAATACATATATTTTATGCATGTATATGTATTGAAACATATATAAATATTTTTTATATATATATATATAATGCGTATATATGTATTGAAACATATATATGCATGGTTTATATATATATATAAACCATACAGCAACATGGCCATGCAAATAAAAAAAAGGTCAGCTCGATCTACTAAAGATCGATCTTTAGTCCCGGTTATTTCACCCGGGACTAAAGATAGCGATCTTTAGTCCCGGATTGGTAGTCCCGGTAAAAAAAAAAACCAGGACCACGAACGCTTTCTCCACCAGTGAATCTAAACAATTACTCCATCCGTTTCATATTGTAAGTCGTTTGACTTTTTTCTAGTCAAACATCTTTAAATTGGACTAAGTTTATAGAAAAATATATTAGTATTTTCAATACAAAATAAATATATTATTAAAATATATTCAATGATGAAACTAATTTGATGTTTTAGATGCTACTAAATTTTTCTATAAACTTGATTAAACTTAACAAAGTTTGAAAAAAAAAAGTCAAACGACTTATGAAACAGAGGGAGTATCAAAGATGCGTAGTATAATGTACCATTGAATTATAAGAAACTTACTGTAATGTGTGATTTGTCTTGATGTCCTGCATATGTCGATGTGCTGTCCCTGGACAGGTGGACAAGGACCCTTAACCGCATCCAGTTAAGTGTCCATGATGTGGGCCCGCCTGTCATCGTCGTACACGAACGCATCTCTGGATTATTGTAGACCCCACCGCCTATATTGGAATAGGTTTGTATATAAAATCGATCTGTTAAGTTTAAGAGACTATGAAAGTATTTACAAAAGTGATACCCATATCATTTTTATGTTTTGAAATTAAGTATTTAGTGATGGTCAGAACTTATAACTTTGTAAGTCATCGAAGGTTAGAATTTTGTAAGTTTAAATCTTATCCAAAATATTAAATATTATGACCGCAAGGAGTGATTCGAAAAATTTGTAGTTGTAGTGTGTGTATGTTTGCTATTCTCTTTTTCTTTTTTTTCAAAAAAAAACTGCATTTGGTCTCCATCATGTCAGCTGTTGGGCATGCATATATGACTGATATGTGGAATTGAGCTTAGATGAAAACTCGTGTAAATCCTGATAAAAAAAAGCTGTATAAATTCAAACAAAATAATAATACATGTAGAGGACATGATGTTTCACAAGTATGTAAAAAATCTCGTCCAAATTTGATTTTATTTGTAAGATGTAAAAACAACAAAGTTTGAACTAGAAAACTGATTTGTTCACAACTTATTATTTTTATATCTCACAAACGAAGTCGAGTTTGGATAAGATTTTTACATGTTGTGTAACATCACCTCATGCATATACATATGTGTGTTTTTAATTTGGATAACTTTTTGGTTAGGGTTTACATGAGTTTTCATCTAGTTTGAGATATGCACCACATATTTACACAACATATATCATGAAATAATTGGAATAAGTTAGATGATCTAAATTTTGTTAGGACTGGCAATTAATTAAAACTCAAAGATTATTGTTTAGAAAGGACAGCGATTGAGCAGGTTTCAGATTATAAATGTATAGAACTAGAGTAATAGTGTTGCCCAGTGTTCTGTACCTAGCTAAAATTAATACAAGTTAACATGTTAGAAAGAAATAATCCATTGAGCTCCGTTGTTGAGCGATGGTTTTCCAAACTACTCCGTCATCCCAAAACCATATACCTATAGGAAAATCCCTTATATTAATTTTGGGACAGAGAAAGTAGTTTTGTACCAATACACATGTCAACTAAAATAAAATTCTATTGGAATATTTTTCTCGAGCCATCCATCATCAGAATCAAAATTTATCATAACACTTCTAAAAAGAATTATCATAAGTTCGTAAAGTTTGACTTAAGCCATCTATATGACACAATCCCTAAAATACTTATTATCGCAAACATTATTTGTCCCGTCCGTAAGAATTGAATTTTATCGCAACGTTTCGATCGAACCGCGTCTATGACAAAATTGTTGAAAGAGACAACTTCAATTATCTCAAACATTATTTCCCTAACTTTTTAGGATATTTCCGAGTGTTTCCTGAGCTTCTCCTGTTGTAACACAGTACAATGACATTCAACCATTTTGGATGTCTCCAATGGGACGCAATGCCGACCTATAGCTGCCGACCAAAATTCATGGAAAAGGGAATGCATATGAATCACGAATTCACGAGATGTGTCGCGACTTGACTACGTCGTTAACGTTTACATGCAACAACCTGAGACAAAATAATTAATCAAAACACTTTGCTAACCTAATTATATAATCTAAATATATATCATTTCATATGCTACCACTAAGAAAGCGACTGGTCATCGTGCGAACCTATATATCGATCGATATCGACTCGCCTTTTGATGATATATTATGTGCTGTCCGTGACACTGACCCTTAACCACAAACACGTACGTACGCTATAGATGATTAATTGGTACGTGCTGCACTAAGAAATGACTAATTGTTGCTCCGATCAATCATTGTTTGCTTTTGGATACTCAAGAAATCGGAATTAGGTCACAGTTTGACCAAGGAAAATTAATATTGCAAGATACTTAGGTTACCAATATACAATTTCCTCTTTGTCTTTCGTCGGTCTAAAAATGGCTGGTTGTTAATTAGGAACGATAAGAGCTTCTCTTCTTCATTTTTGCGAGGATAAGCTTCTCATTTTAATATGCTTCTAGAAAGGAAAATAATGCGAGATACTGAGATTGGTTTACCAATAATTTGTTCTTTTTTTATTATTTTGCGTTCTAATTAAAAAGTGGCATGTTGTTAATTAGTAGCAACTACATTTAACTCTAAATGTAAGTTCTTTCTAGGAAGGAAAAAAGTTGTATATTTTTTTAGGAACATATCCTGTGTATATTCCATACACACCAACCAACAACAGTCACCCAATGCAAACATCTGGAAAAAAAAGTGTATATACTTCCAATAGTATTACACATATATGCATGTAAAATCTTAACCTCGAATTTATTATATTTTAGCCATAGAAAAAAATGTTTTATGACAATTTTGCCTTTTTGTTGTTCTTTTATATAGGATGAATTTGAAGATGTAACTTGACACATAGATATAATATTTTTTTTTGTGATATTTGTTAGTTGGTTTGCACGGTGTATATATGCGAAGGCTTGTATGCACAGTATTTTTTTTAATATGTTGTTAGAGGCATCAATGCCATCACTACAATTCTCTGAGTGTCATTTTTTTGGAACAGACTTTGGAGTAAGGTAAACCAACAAAAAAAATATTTCCTTCTTTTTTTAATGATAATAACGTTATAGCTTGAGCAAACTTGATTGGCCTATACGAGTAGTTTGCATGGAACCCCATAACTGCACATAATCAAATAGTTAACCCACAAAAACAGCACGTAGAGCGAGCTGTTCACACAGTGATGGAGCAGTTGACAGTGATTTAGGGTCCAAAATGCAAGTTTACAAGGGCATGACTGCAAAGTTACAAGTCAAGAATGGGCATGGCTGAAAATGTCCATGGACCTGGTTGTGAGAATCAAGAAAGTGTGAGGATATAGAAAGGAGACCGCAGGGGCATATCTGAGAGAAAAAAAAGTTGGAAACAGACTGGGCAGGGACCAATCCGTGAAATCGCAAAAATACTTGGACCATTTCTCGATTTGTGCGTGTCAACCTTGCGCAGGGGCCATGCTAATCTTCTCTGTATCGTTTCTATTTTATGCACAGCAGCGTATATAAGCTACGCCTAACCATGTTAGCTAAGTAGTATGGTACTAATTGTTTGCTCTGCGGCTACTTCCTGCACGCTCGTAGCCGTGGGCCCGGGTGCACGTGGGCTAGAACTCCCGCAGACGGCCCAACTTAAGTTAGGCGATCCCCATTCGATCGAGCCAGCGTTCGTCTGTGCAAAATTCAGGCTAATTTCAAATATATGAATACTTTTGTCACTGATGTAGTGATGTATTATTTTTTTAATAAAAAAAACTTCTTTTGTAGTATAACAGTGTATGACTGCAAATCGACTGTAGTTATTTCAACTGCTTGCATTAACAGAGGATTAACCTCACCAATTTCTAGTTAGCAAAAAAACCTCACCAATTTCTCTGTTGGTAGTAAAGATTACTAACTATCTATACGCAGCATTATAATTTATCATGCATGGAGAGTAGTATTACATATCTATCCAGTCCAAAATAGAAAAAAGGTACTTTATATCATACTATCACCATATCATGGTATCTTAGTGCACAGGGAAAAAGAAACAGCATGTTGCTGCAAAAAAAGTGGTGTCAATATGTACAGATTTGTGCCTTCTCCATGATTAGGGAAAATCACAAACAATTGGAGATCTAATTAATCAGGTTGTGCTGAACTTAGTTCGTTTGGTCCCACACTGAAGTGTTGTTTTTCCACATGATCAAGCCATGGCCATCACTTGTCATGCAAGGGCTCCACAGTGCATCATCTGCATCTTCAGTTACAGCAGCAGCAGACAATGAATCTTCAGAATCCATCTGGTTTCTGCTCTGGAAATGAGGCCCTGATACGGTGCCTATCTCATCTGCCTGTAGTGATCCTTCATGTGCCTGACCAAGATTGCCTACAAGATGGAATAAAAGGTTAGATTAGGGATGAGGGTTAATTACTGAACTTCCAAGGTTAATCATGCAGGTGCTTCATCTGGCCATTTTCTGCACCTGAGGCTGTCTTGTTAGTCTCAGCTTCGTCCAGCTGATCCCAATTCTGGTATGCCTCGATTGAAGATTGCTTCACTTGCATCTGGAACAAATAATGAGATCAAATGACTTGGCAGATAAAAGCTAATTGCATTCATTTATGTCGATAAACCATCGATCGACAACAAGATGAAGTATATTCTGACCAAACAACTTGTGAAGAAAGAAGCAGAATAGTAGTACTACGACTTATTACCATTTCTGCAGCTCTAAAATCGCATGTTTTCGCGTGGTGCAGTGTTGCCTTCCAGAGCCGATCGGACATGACAACGAGCTGAATGAACAATCCCGGATCGAATCAACCAATGATCCATCAACACAACAACGAAATCTTCCATAATTCAAGAGATACAAAACGATGCACAAATTGATTAGTGCAGACTAACTACATTTACTAATTACCTTCCTGAGCTTTTCAGGGTTGGTGGCATGCAGGTTCAGAAAACCCTGCACATTCCTGACACGTTCAGATTCCAGCCTCTTGTGGATTGGCCCATCTTTCCGTATGTTCTTCAGCCTCCACACCTCATCATCTGGCCTCGGAGGGAAATGCTTCTTGTACGCTGTGAAATCAAGCATAAAGAAAAAAAATTCAAATACTAATAATCAAATTCAGAATAAACTGTCGAATTAATAATCAAAGTTCATCAAACTCTGACGAAACTGACATCATCATCGTCATCAACAACAACAACATTGCTAACACAAAGACAAATTCAGAGTAGCTTTGATACCCACATTCTCCCCGGTGATCTTTCACCATGAAGCTCTCGCTCACCGCCTCCCGGATCCTCAGCTCGCCGCCATCGCCGCTACCCGCCACCGCCACGGCGCGCACGCCGATCCTGAACCTCCTGCTCCTGGTCCAGCTCGAGTTGTCGGTGAACGCCACGTCATCAATGAATGCAACGCCAAGATGATCATCGGCCATGGCCACATTGAGCGTGCCGACGAGCAGTGGCCTCCTGCCTTCCCTCTCCCTCACGATGGCGCCGCTGAACTCGTCGCTGCTCCATCCCTCATCACCATGACTGAAATCTCCATCCAGGACTAGCACCTCCAGCTTCTTGATCATGGGGAGATGATGATGAGAGGTGGTGGTGGAGCTCATGTGAAGGAGGTGGACTTGGAGAGGGTTGTTGTCGACGTCGACGAGCTTGTTGTTGGTGAAGATTGGGAGCTGGAGCCGCTTCGCGAAGGCGAGCTTCAGCGAAGAATCGACGGAGTTGACAAGCATTGGAGGAGATCTGGAGATCAAGATATGCAGAAGAAGTTCATATGTGGAGAGAAAAAATTAAACTTGTTGGTGCATAGTATGTTTGGGTTTTGTTTTGGAAAAAGTACGAATTACCCCCGAACTATCACGGTCATCCGAATTACCCTCTAAACCACAAAACCGGATATTTTTCATCTCCAATTATGCAAACCGGACGAATTACCCCCCTCGATCCAATCCGCGGTGGTTTTGGTCTACGTGGCAGTCCAGTCAGCATTTTATTTTTTAAAAAATGGTGGGACCCACATGTCATACCCCCTCTATCTCTCTCGGTCTCTCTCTCGTGGCGGAGGATGCACGGCGGCGCGCGGTGTGAGACGAGGAGGGGGAAACGGACGGCGGCGTCCAGGGCGGCCGGGGGAAGCGGCGGCGTCAGGGCGGGCTGGGGCAGCGACGGCGGCGTCCAGGGCGGGCTGGGGAAGCGGCCGCGGCGGCGACGGCGGTGTCCAGGGTGGGTTGGGGAAGCGGCGGCGGCGGCGTCCAGGGCGAGCGGGGAAGCGGCGGCGCCCTCCAGGTCGAACGGGGGCGGCGGCGGCGGCGCCCTCCAGGGCGGGCGGGGGAAGTGACGGCGGCGACGGCGCCCTCCAGGGCAGGCGGGGGAACCGGCGGCGGCGGGCGTGGCAGCGGGCGCCGCGAGGAGCGGGCGCTCGTGCGCGGGCCGGCCGCCTCGCCTCGCCGCCGCCGCCTCATTCCCCGCTGCTCGCCTCCTCCTCCGCCGCCTCGCCTCGCCTCCGCCGCGCTCGCCTCCTCCGCCACACCTCGCCGCCGCTCGCCTCCTCCGCCGCCTCCTCTGCGCCTCATCCCTCGCCGCCGCTGCCGCTCGCCGCCGCCGCCGCTCGCCGCCTCATCCCTCGCCGCCGCTGCCGCTTGCCGCGCCCCGCCTGCCGCTGTCATTCGTGAGAGAGTGAGAGAAGAGAGAGAGGAAGAGTAAGAGAAGAGAGAGGAAAAGTGTATGACAGGTGGGGCCCACCTATTTTCTAATAAATAAATTGCTGACTGGACTGCCACGCGTACGCCACGTAGACCAAAACCGCCACAGATTGGGTCGAGGGGGGTAATTCGTCTGGTTTGCATAGTTGGGGGCGAAAAATGTCCGGTTTTATGGTTTAGGGGGGTAATTCGGACGACCGTGATAGTTCCGGGAGGGGTAATTCATACTTTTTCCTTTTTTTTTTTTGATAATGGAAATCAATCCAGCCTCTACATGAAGATGTTGTTTCTGGCCATGAATAATAACAAGAAATGGGACAAAAATTTGCAAAGTACTACTCCATCTGTCCCAAAATATAAGAATCTAAAATTGAATGGGACATCCTAGTACTACGAATCTAGACAGTTGTTTGTTTAGATTTGTAGTACTAGGAAATATCTCATTCGTTTATAGATTCTTATATTTGGGACTAAGAGAGTAGAAAATAAGTTGAGTTATAAGATCATAATAGTATGTTAGATATGTGAGTGGAAGAAGTTTGTTTGTACCTGTACAGTAGGTGTCCATGTTTAGAAAGGCTTCTTTCCAGTTCCTCCTGAACCTTTAAATTGGTAGGACAATGTTCAAGTCAGTTTAGACTCAAAGGAAGTGCAGAAAAAACCTAGCAATTAAGATGATGAATTAACACAAATGACACGAGTTTTATATATTTGATTGAACAAAATAAAGTGTTTTTTTTCTATTTTCAAAGAAAGAATAAGTTGGTGGATGATTAGATGGACTGTTTGGAGTAAAGTTGGCCTGAATTGATAGTATTTTTGTGAAGGCATTTGAGCTATACTATCTTTGTGCTTCCACATAAAAGGAATTAATACTTCATGAATTCGAATCTGAATTTTTCGTATCGTACCGCCTTCCGAAAAAATGGTTCCAGATCCAGGCCGAGTTTCTGAATCTTTTCGGCAGCCATTGCTCCTCTCATAACTCTGCAATCAAATCAAAAGTGGTCAGAAATGAAACAGTAAGAATGAATAGAGTGCACATATACCCCCCCCCCCACACACACACACACACATTTTCCATGGTAAACCTAGTATAATAACACAACCTACAAAATGGAACCCCAAAACAAAGGATGCAACTTATCTTCAGATTTCATAAAACCAGAAAAAAGTGAAAACTATCACACAATGAGCATTAAGAACAGTATAATGCAATGTTAATATGCAGAGAAGGATACTATGCAGATTCAGAGATCGGAACTAACGATATGAAAGATGGCACCGTCTGTCTCTTCCTCTTGGCCTCAGGCCACCCACCATCATCCCTATCCTCCTCTTGTTCGTCGCCTCGAATCCGCCTAAACGCCATGAATCCTTGATCACCACTCATCCTCAATGGATGAAATCAAATTCAGAAGAAGAAGAAGAGATGGAGAGTGGACAGTAGAGCGGTACAATACAGTTAAGGGAGCTGGGTGAATTGAAGCTATTTATAAAGAAATTAAGATCCTAATCAGTAACTGATAACTGCAATACCAGAAGAATGTTCCAGGTAGGTTCCTGGAAGGTCACTGGAAGCTTGCTGCTTAATTTGTAGGCTACCTTGCAAATACTCCATCATAGATAGCTTCTGTCCATGGATCATATGTGCCTCAACCTGCTATTGGCTGTTTGTTTGTAACGGAGCTTCAGGTCACATAGACTCAAACTTGCTGCTACTAACAGCTAGGTCAAGCAGAACTAAGCTAATTTAACTGTCAGTATGTCTCACTGACTGGTGGGCCCTCCTCGGTCTCCACGCCGCTTACTTTGCCTTGAAGTCTTGATGAGAGAAGTTGCTGCCTAGCTACCTCGGTCAAGCTGAGTTGTAACTAAATTAAGTATTGTTGACAGAACAAGAGGCTAGATTATTAATGTCCAAAATTCAAATGCTTTGTGATCACAGGACACGAAACTAGATTAATAATGAATACTTGGCATTGACTTCATTAACTTGTCAATGTTTCTTGACTAGGCTGCTTTCATTCATGGTAGAAGGATAGAAAAAACAACTTTTTTTTCACAAATGCTTCCCAAACTGCTAAACGTTAGTATGTGTTTTGCAAAAAAAAAATATCAATCCATTTTTCAAGATTAAAATAGTTAATACTCAATTAGTTATATGCTAATGGTTTACCTCGTGTTTGTGTATCTTCTCAATTTTCTCTTTTCACTCAAACACAAATTATAGAGCACCCTTATTTTTAGAAAAAATCAAACTCGGTAAGTTTTACTAATAATCATACTAACAATATCTATGAGAAGTATTATGCATGTTATATCACTAGATTTGTATTTAAAAATAGTTTAATGTGATACTAATCTTATATACGTTGGTAATTTAACATTGACTAAATTAATTGTCAAAGTGTATCCCTTATAATTTGGGACGGAGGGAGTAACTTGTTAGCAGTTAGTACTAGAGTTCCCCTTTTGTCTGACTTTACAAGGATTAAAGAACACAGCCTGAAGAACGACCAATCGAGCTTGTAAATTGGCTGAATATTTATATGTACAAGTGCATATTACGCTAAGTGATAAAATTTGGACAAAAATAAACAAACCATTTCTACGACAACCGAACAAATATGCAGACCTCCAACGTTCTTCCAAGAACATTCACTGAATCACTGTCTGAATTTCATAATCTCTGTTCCTGCAAGCTTCAACTGCACACAGAGAGAATGCAGGAAGCTACCGATGCATATGGCTGCTTGTGGCTGAGAGCTTCCTGCAATTTTCTATGCACTTTTCTGAAAGTCTGAACTGCTCAAAAGGAATCTCATGGATACTTTACAGGGCTTCAGAGATGTAAATTAATTAACAAAACATGTCTAGAGAAATCTAACAACTAACAACAACACTTCTCGGAGACGACAGCTGGGCATCGTGCCACGTAGGATGCATACATACATGTTCATCGATCGATCGATCGATGGAGGAGATGGCCTTGGGCGAAGGTGAAGAGGAAACTACATGTTGGAGAAATTCAAGCTGCAATGGATTAAGACAGAAGTTTCTACTAGCAGGAGTTATACCAGCTGGTAAGTAGCTAGGAGTAGCCGCAAAATGATGTCACTAGCTAGGAAACTGACTTAAAAATTGGAGAACTCCATCCAATGTAAGGCGTCCTTAAAGTTTATATTTTGTACAATTGATTGATAACTAAACCGAAAGTATATGCGTCAAGTGCCATATTCGTATTTGAAAATATTTTCATACGATGTTTATTTTGTAGTTGTTAATAATATGTCATGAAAAACATAATTGTCAAAGTGTATAATGTTGAAGACCACGCAGAAACGTACGTAAAATGCCTTATTTGTTTATAAACGGACGAAGTGATAAAGAAAAGTACATAGTTAGTGTGCTTCTTACGGTCCAAGTCAATCTCTATATATGGAGACGGAAAGGAAAAATCTGGTCACCTTTAATGGAGAGGATGCAACAACAATCGCATGAAAACAAAAGAGAAAATTCTGCTCCCTCATCTCTTCATCCACGTATGTTGCATTTCAAAAGGTGAGCTACTATTTTTTTTGGGTGAATAGCTAATTTAGTCCCTCAAGTTTCACCGAAGGCTCAATTTGGTCCTTCACGTTTCATTTTGTCTACATAGGTCCTCCAAATATTTGTTTTGGCTTAAAATCATCCTTGGGCCCACTTAATATGCCATATGGCTATTTCTAGTCAATATTTCTATTAAAAATATCCTTTTTGCCCTTAATTTGTATACAACTATATACTAGAAAAGAGAAAGTCAACATGAATAAACAACATTACAGATGTACTTCTTATTATTTCAACATGTGCACATGAAACTTAAGCAATTGCTCTCGTATACACTTGCTAGTACATAATATATTTTCATTTTACATAATATACTATGTATTATCTATAAAAATTCAAGCATGCAATTTTTCTCTTATATATGTGAATGATGAGGGGTATAAGTGTCATTTATGAAGAGAGTTGTTGGTTCAAGGATAAGTTTGAACAAAAATGAAAACTTGAAGGACTAATATGGATAGATTGAAACATCAAGGACTAAACTGAGCCTCAGATGAAACTTGGAGGACCACTTTAGCTATTCACCTATTTTTTTAAGCAAAAGAAAAAAAAAACTAATGCTCCTGCTCCCGACTCCCGAGAGAGTATCTCATATAGAGACGGGCAGATACGTGGACCTATTTTTTTTTATTTATAGAAAACGCATTACAAACACAACGCGCGCACACCTATTCCTAAACACATTACAAACGCAGACATACACAACACGCACACTACCTCTATAAACACCTTCTCGACGAATACATCATCTATCACTGAAAGAATTATTAGCCGTAAATACAAGCACACGTATTAAATTTAGGATTTGAACCCAGTAAGCTAGTCCCATCACAAAAATCCTACTTTAGTTCAACTTGGACCTTGCTTATTATTTGCTATGTTATGTTAATGGCTGCTTTGGAATTTAGTGATTTACATGGTTTTTCTTAAGAAAAGTTTTGATCTATGTCACTATTCCTACTAAAAAAAATTTCTTCTATCAATGATTTTTTAATTTTTTTAGTTCACAAACAAACTAAATGGTATATGTAGATTTGCCTAAAAGAATAGATTTTATAAATTTATTTTGATATATCTTTGATCGCTGAAATATTAAAAGTTTGCGTATTTTTTACAGAAGTGAGTAAATTATTTTATTGAAAGAAAAACCTTTTTAAGAACATAAAGGTAAAAAACTTAGAAATGTTACTTTTAATAGAATTTGTAGCAATGTTCATTCACTCTTTATTTTTTCCCCAAACAATGCACTCTTAAGCTTAAATTTAACTCTAAGAGTGGGTCTAAAGTGAAGATTTAGAGCTTCCTAAACCCAACTTCACCTCTCTAGTTTTTATATTTACTTTTTAAAAATAAATTACCATTTCAAAGTTTTGAAAAAAAAAAACTCCTCCCGCCTTATTGTTTGGTGGGGGCATATAAATTTCCCTATCGACCCTACATAGGGCGGGCATATAAATCGCCCTACAATAGGGTAATCTATGTGACGTAGCATCCTACGAGAGAGGCGTGGCGTGGTAATTTTGCAAGCGACCCCCTTCTCGCTCTCCACTAGGGCGATTTCGTTTGGGACATTAGAAATATTTTGCTGATGCACGAGGCGCACCATAGAAATTTTGCCTACGCACCCCTCCTGGCGATAAATCGTCCTAGTGGAGAGCGAGAAGGGGCCGTATGCAAAATTACCACGGCGTGTCCCTCCAGAGGTTGCACTGCCACGTGGATTGCCCTATCATAGGGCGATTTATATGTCCCATCCTACAGTGGGTCGGGGGAGTATATTTCTGTAAGATTTTGAAATAAAAATTTATTTTTTAAATCTTTTAAAAAATAAAAATAAAAAATAAACAAAATTCAACTCTTTGGCAGTTCCGGCTAAATCTGGGCCTCTTAACTCTCGAGGCCTATATCGAGCGGAGAGCCCATGAGAAGCCCAAATTCTCAAATTGCAAGAGTTTCAGCCCAATTTGGCCTCCCCATTCCATCCACCCCAAACCCCTCCTCACTCTCTCTCTTCCCCCCTTTCTCATTCTCTCTCTAGGGTTGCGGCCGCACCAAACCCCCACCCCCCCCCCAACTCCGGCGACCGGCGGCCGGCGGCGCACGCCCATAACCCTCCCATGCCGCCTCACCGGTGACCACCTACCCGCCCTTCCCAAGATCCCCCTTCGATTCATCTGATTAGCGCGAGCAGCGAGGTTCGGCGCGGCGGGATGGGGACGGAGGCGGAGGCGGCGGAGGTGGTGGAGTCGGTGAGCGACCTCGCCGTGCAGGACCCTCCCGGGGAGGAGTTCTCCGCGGCGGACCTCCGGTGGGTCAAGTACGCGAGCTCCGAGCACCAGCGGGACGACGTGGCGCTCATCCCCTACGAGCGGATGGACGCCTTCATCGCCGGCGAATGCAGCAACCCGGAGTGCCCCACGCGCTTCCACATCGAGCGCGGCCGCAAGCGCGACCGCGGCACCCTCCGGGAGGTCAGGAGCGACGACTACCTTCTCTACAGGATGTATGTGTCATGTATTTTTTTTTTTTGCTTCTATATTATTTGAATTCAGTGCTTGTGAAATTGCTAATCCTTGCTGACCACTGTTGTTGTGTTGTGTTGTGTTGGTGTGATGTTCTTGGATTGATCAATCCAGGTACTGGTGCTCGTTCGGCCCGGAGAATTACGGCGAGGGAGGGACGATCTTGCCGAGCAGGAAGTATAGGCTCAACACGAGGAATCGTGCCGCTCGTCCGCAGTCGATGCGTGGCTGCACCTGCCACTTTGCCATCAAGCGGCTATATGCCCGCCCGTCCCTGGTGCTCATTATCTACCATGAGAGGCGGCATATCAACAAGTCTGGTTTCATATGCCATGGTCCCTTGGACCGGGACGCCATTGGGCCGGGTGCCAGGAGGGTGCCGTATGTGGGGAGCGAGATCCAGCAGCAGACCATGTCGCTGATTTACCTTGGTGTGCCGGAGGAGAACATCCTGCAGACACATATGGAAGGGATACATCGTTACTGCGGCTCGGACGCGAAGGTTGATAGCCTCGCTTCACAGTATGTCCAGAAGCTTGGGATGATCATCAAGAGGTCTACGCATGAGCTGGATCTTGATGACCAGGCTAGCATCAGAATGTGGGTTGATAGGAACAAGAAGTCTGTGTTCTACTACCAGGATTCGACGGATACAGATGCATTTGTTCTAGGGATCCAGACAGAGTGGCAACTGCAGCAGATGATTCGCTTTGGTCATCAGGATCTTTTGGCTTCTCATTCCTCGTTTGGTGTTAGCAAGCTGAAGGTATTGGCTGCAGCAAAAACTGACAGTTCTGTACTTAAACTTCAAACACCTTTCCTTGTCTGTGATGTGTAATTATGCCGGCAAGGACTAGTTTTGTAATATATTTGACATTTTGCTCTTCTCTGCAGTATCCATTGCACACACTCCTTGTCTTTGACTCAAGACAACATGCTCTACCTGTTGCGTGGATTATAACCCGATCAGTTACCAAGCAAGACACTTTGAGATGGATGAAAGCACTTACTGAGAGAATATATTCTGTTGATTCCACCTGGAGAATCGGTGGATTTGTAATTGATGACCCAGCTTCAGAGCTGGATCCAATCAGGTATGACATGGTTTCCGACGATCAGTTCTAATTGTCTAATTTTTCCAACTGTAGCTATTAGCTGGTAATGAATTTCAAATCAATGTATGTTTCTCTGTTTCAGGGATGTATTCTCTTGCCCAATTTTGTTTTCTTTATGGCACATTAGGAGAACCTGGCTTAAAAATATAATCAAGAAATGCAGCAACAGTGAGGTACAGCGGGAAATGTTTATGCAACTAGGAAAAGTTATGTACAGTATCTGGAGTGAGAAAAATCCCATGGATGCTCTTGAGCAATTATTTCAAGACTTCGTTGACCAAACCACCTTCATACAATATTTCAAGTCCTTTTGGGTTCCCAAATTGGGTAAGAATTTCGGGTAGCTGCTTCAGTTTATGCATCGCATTGTAGATTATTATGCAATGCTAATGATATTCCTAATATGCTTTTTAGAGATGTGGATTGACACCATCAGAAGTCTTCCACTAGCAAGTCAGGAATCATCAGGCACTATTGAAGGTTACCATCTAAAGCTCAAGGTTAAAGCATATGATGACTCACAGCTTGATGCTCTCCAGCGTGTGGACTGGTTGGTGCATAAGCTCACAACAGAGCTCCATTCGAGTTACTGGCTCAATCTGTATGCGGATGAAAGCGGTTCATTTCCTGAGGTGAAAGCAGAGTACATTGCGTCCACTTCATGGCATAGAGCGCTGCAGATACCTGACGATGCTGTTATATTTGATGACAAGGAACCATTTTCAGCAAAGGTGACAAGCCAGAAGGATACTAGTCAGATGTGGACTGTCTGGAATCCTGGGTCTGAGTTTTCTCTTTGTGATTGTTCGTGGTCAATGCAGGGCAACCTATGTAAGCACATCATAAAGGTTAACATGATGTGTGGACCACGCAAGGATTTCCAGCCCTCGCTCTCATTTCAATCGTTTCAGCGTGTCCTACTTGATCTGTGGCAAAAACCCATGGATGATTCATTCTCACTCGATCTGTCAGTAGCATGGGTTATGCAAATGCAGGAGAGGATCCAGAAGGTGACTGAGCTTGCTACCGCTGACGGCATTGCGGAAGTATCTAACAGATTGCCGATTCAATGGACAAACAAGAAAGGGAGGAAAGTAGCTGCAAAGCGCACCAGCCCTTTACGTGTTCTTCCTCACTCCAATGGTATTGTGCAAAAGGATTTCACACCCAAGAAGAACAGAAAGAGAAAGAGGTTGTCAACAGTCTCGGGTTAACAGTACTCCAATTGTTCTTGTCCAGAGAGTTATTTTTCTCTCTGTGTAATTAGATGGCTAACCGTCTTTTGTTTGTTTTCTGTCTCAACTAGTTACTTTTGGTATAGGCATTGGTTACTAGGATGATCACCTCACGTTTCTGAAACCAATTCTTCTGTTGTTTAGTTGGATATAATTATTCAGGCAGCATAAGAAATACATCGAATCAGTCTCTCTGGTCGATCGTGGCATTATGATCTATGGTTGTTTTTATTGGCCACATTGGCCACTTTGGTTTTTCTTGATACAAACTTTGATCCACATATCTTTCTGGGAGACTGGAACTTGACTGTAAAGTGCTAAAGTTCGGTTCAAGCCTTTGGTAACTTTCAAAGTTTGTTCAAAATGGTCCTGAACTGCCTTCAGCAATTGACTGCAGATTCTCAAGGTTGAAGTCGTGATGATTTACCATAGATGCTGATGGAGTATTAAATAATGATGGTTTTCCTTCAAGCATATAATTTCTTTTCGTGTTGAGATGGTTCATATATCTCAGTAAACAAACAAACAAACTGTCTACCTTTTTCCTGCTGGGTTTCTCATTCTACAAGGATTCCCATTGTTTCTTTTTTTATCAGCAAGCATCTAAAGTTTTTTTTTTCTTCTGAAAATTAGTTTGCTTTCCTGAAAATTTAGGTGTTGAAGAACAACAGGGAATAAGTTTATCACAGAATCGACAAAATCAAAGAAATAGTATGTGTGATTGTGTAGTGGATCTCGATTATGTGCAGCTTGCCAACAGTTGTGTAATTATGAATTGACAAACTCAAACGCGTCGTGCAGTTTTAATAATTGTGTATGTGTAATTATGAAGTTATTAATGGCGTCGTGGAGGCAGCAAATAGATGGATGAGGTGGCAATTGAATTATGTTGCCGGCTTAATTGTCCTCTACTAGCTGCCTGCCAGGTAGTGTGCCAACCAGTTGCAATCATCCTGCAAGAAAATGCTCAATTATCTGTTGCTTAATTATTTAGTTTGCATAGAACATGGTCCAGCCGTCCAGGGGCCAAGTGCCCAAGTGGATTTGGTCTCCAGAGATTATGGCTCAAACTAATACTGAGATTTTGTCTGAGTTGGAGGCAATTATTGTCTTCCTAAAAAAACACACACATAGAGAGTATTATTGTATAGCCTCACCCACCACTCATCTAGCAAAAATAAAATTACTTTATTCTTTATTATGCATCAATTATTTTCTGCAAAATATGTTTTTTCAAATGTTAAACATCACTAGGTTAGTACTCTCTCTGTTATATAATTTTTTGATGTTTTAGACACGTCTCAAAATAAATCTTTGACTACGATTTTCTGTTATAATATATACAAAATAAGTAAATCTTTAATTTTTCTTCAAAATATACTTCTTAAGACTAAGTATCTTTAAACTAAATATCTTATTAAGAGTTACTGATAGTCAAAATCCTAATTTGTTTGATCTCCTATCCATAATGTAAAAAATTTATGAAACCGGATGGTGCACTCCTTTTTATTATAGACACCAAACGTATATAGGGTAGCAAAAGGAGATGGTGGAAACATGATAGGTTCTTCAATATGAAATTTGTTTTGGCCATGTGATTAGAAGGTTCTTCCCAGCTTTATAATTCCCGTTTTAGCTACCTTAAAAGACTCGAATCACAAGGGCACTTTAGCTAGGAACGAAGATGCATACATACGGAAGATAAATAAAAAGCGTGTTTCCCGCAAAAAAAAAAAAGCGTGTGAATCTATCCTTTTCTTTACATGGAATTCACGTTGCATGGTTCGAATCATTTAATGATGACTGTCATATGTATTGGAAAATGCTCGGCGTCGGTCGACCGAGGGGGGAGAAAAAAATCGGGCGCTCCCCCGCGGCCCCACCCCCGCGCGCAGTGATACTGTTGGGCCCTACCACATTACCTGCCCCCACATGCAACAAATCAACCACATATTTTGCAAACCCTATATTAAGAGAATTTGGTTTATTTTTTGTTGTACCAAAAATGTTTCACCTAGTGTACTCACAATGTTTCACTATGTATAGATCTAATGTTGCAGTGAACTGGAATATTCTATTGCAACAAAAAAACCCACATATTTTGGAAACCCCCTATTAAGAGAATTCGTTTTATTTTTTGTTCCACCGAAAAATGTTTCACCTAGTGTACTCACAATGTTTCATTATGTATAGATCTAATGTTCCAGTTAACTGCTATTTGCCGAAATATTGTTTTTATATAAGGTGAAACAACATCCGATTTAAACGAGTGAAACATTTTCGATCTACTTTGTGAAACAATTCCGATATACCTGGTGGAACATCGCGCCACATTTAAAAATAATTCAATAATAAGCTAAAAAAATTTCGTCGGAATATATCCATGTGTGATCTTGTTTTGAAAATTTAATTGCAACGAATTTAATGGTGCAATCGGATCATGATTTGGATAAGTAATTTGAGAGAAAAATCAGTTTAAAGTAGTTTTACACGTAAATCGGACGCTGACGTCAGCGCCCGATTTTCCCCCACCCACGATCGGGCGCCCGATTTGTAGGGGGATCCATATGTATTCCGTTCTCTCTCGATAAGTTGACTTTTTTTTTTCTCGTTGCCTTTGAGGTGTGATCTTGACCAAATTTCTTTTACTAAAATCTATATCTATAACTAATATAAATATTCGGATTTTTCCAGTCGTCACAAGTCAGATGAAGGGCGCCTTCGTCCCTCGCGGTACGCCTTCGCCCGCAGCCCCCGAATCCCAATCCCTCCAATCCCTCTCACAATCGGATACAAGGGAAACAATTCCTAATATCGGCACAACCCCCTCCCTCCCCCCAAGGAAAAATCCCAGTCGAAATTCATCAAGAATACACATGAAACATTCCATCAATAACCCACATAACAAACTTTCAACCAAGAACACATGAACCTCCACCGGTACCATGCACAGAGATAGAGAAAGAGACGACGCCGCCGCCTCCATGCCGCCGCCCCTCCCGCCTCCATGCCGCCGGTTTTGGCGGAGGCCGCCTCCACGCCGTTCGACCCACGGCCTCCATGACGTCCGCCGCCACAGCCGCCGCACCTCCCCACCATGCAGAGAGAGAGAGAGAAAGAGATGACGACGCCACCTCTCCCGCCCCCGCTAGATCTGGCGGAGGCAAGGTCCGGCCCGCCGCCCCTCCTGCCCCCGCCGGGCCGCAGCCGCCTCCACGCCGCTGGATCTGGCGGAGGCGAGGCCCGGCCGACCGCCTCCACGCCGTCTGACCCGCCCCCTCCATGACGTCCGCCACCACCGCCGCCGCACCTCCCCTCCCCCCGATCTAGTGGAGGGGAGGGCGTCGCCGCCCCTCCTGCCGCCGCCACAAAGAGAGAGAGAGAGAGGGGGAGAAGTGGAGAGAGAGTGGGGGGAGAAGTGGGGAAGCTGAGAGAAGGGGAGAAGCCGCATGCGTCGCTGCTCGCCGGAGGGAAACGGCCGGCCGACTAGGAGAAGGGGGTGGAGGGGGAGGGAAGTAGCCGGCCGGCCGGCTGGAGAGAGGGGGGGCGGAGGAGGAGGGAAGTGGGGAGAGGGGGCTGAGGGGCGGAGGGGCAGAGGGCTGGGGGAGATGGGGAGGGGGCGGCGACTGGATGGATCGAGATCAATCCTTATCTACTCGCGTGGGCCCCACCCGTTCGACTGACTCGGCTCCATTATTAGGATTTTATCATTAAAGATATTTTTAGTATGACTTATACTTTTGCTTATTTACACAATTGAATAAAATGAATAGTAAAATATTATTTGAAAAGTCAAATCATCACAATCCAAATAAAAACAAAATCACAGTCCAAATATAAATCGAAATCAAAGAACATAAAAAATATTAGCACAATATGAGGCCGTCGCATGCTGCTACTCGCCACCTCGCTGCAGTGGAGGTCGTAAACTCGGGGGGCTAGATTCTGAACCGATGACTGACACTGCGCCGGGGATCCGCTGTGCCATCGCGCCGCTAAGAAGCTGCCAATCCATCGTTACGCTGGATGCCGAGAGGGAGAGGGAGGAGCCAAATCCTGAGCGCCACGCCATTGGAGAGCCGTCGACCCGCTGGATCTAGCGAGGAGCGAGGCGGCGGCCACCGCTTGACGAGGGGAGAAGGAGCCTGCAGTGGGGAGAGGGAACGGCGCTACCACCACCGCCACTTGCAGGAGGGCAGGGCGCCGCTGCCCGCTTGCGGGGGAGAAGGATGTCGTAGTCGCTGCTCGGTGGGGAAGGCCACTGCCGTCGTCGCCCGTTGGAATAGTCGCCGCCGCCACCGTTGCTTTACGAGAGAGTATGGTATTTATCTAGGTCAGGACCAATCGAGACTGTCCATCAGATCGGACGGTCCATGCTTCTCTCACGTCAGGCCGGGCGACGTTTTAGGCCGCCGCGCTATTGGGCCATCCTATGGGCCGACCGCACGTGCGAAGCATAGAAGGCCGCTCTATTGGGCCGAGCTTAAATAAATTTTCTCTCTTATTGATTTTAAGTATTTTTGTAATTTTCAGAAATAGCATTAATACCATTTTAATTGTTTATGACTGTTTATTTTCAAAAAAATATTCTTTTATATTTCAAATTTCAATTCTTTTTCTAAATTGTATTCTTACATGCACTCTACCTTCTTTTGAGAATATTCTAGACTTCTCATCCAATATAATTTATAATTTCTATTATTTCTAAATATTATTTCTATATGAACTCTAAACCCATCTTTCAATATTCCTTATATTTTTAATTCCAAATTTCATTTGTTTTTTTAAATCTTTCCTGTTGCAATGGCAGGAATTTTTTCTTAAAAAATATACTAACTCCAAATAAATAATCTATTTTTTCTGCACGTGCATTGTTCGTCCATCCATTTTCTCCCATGCTACAAATCATCCAAACTAAACATCATGTATATTCCACAAATATAAAGTAGATTATTTATCTAAAAACAAACAATTTTTTTGACCAGATTAGATGTCTAAACCAAACAACACTTTTTGTTCACTGTACACGCTTTGTAATCAGCCGATGCAACGCACGGGCACTTTTGCTAGTAAGTATAAAATTTAACAAGTTTATATGATATTACTCCTCCATTTCAGGTTTTATAAGATGTTTTGACTTTTGTTAAAGTCAAACTGCTTCAAGTTAAACTAAATTTATAGACAAAAATATTAATATTTATATCACTAAATTAGTTTTATTAAATTAATAATTAAATATTTTTTATAACAAATTTATCTTGAGTCGAAAATGTTACTATTTTTTCTATAAACTTGGTCAAACTTGAAGCAATTTGACTTTAACCAAAGTCAAAACATCTTATAACTTGAAACACGGGGGTACTTTCGAAGACAACGTACACACATAGTATTTTAAAAATATACTAATAGTTGAAGTTTTTAAGTTTTGTTTTTGAAAAAAAATCAAACATTTTATATTTTGATCGAAAGGAGTATACTAGTGCATCCCCTAGAGTTGAGGAGATGTAAATTTGGTCAAAAAATCACTTAATACACCGTTGGCCTCAAGAAAGAATGATAGATGCCTTCGAACAACTTGTCCTATTAACGTGTAGTATGCCATTAGCGGAATGCACGTCTCACGAAGATGCGTGATTTGGGAACATATATGATAGAGAATAAAATCTTCTTCATCACTCTACTCCCACTTTTCTCTTTTTTTTTCTTCCATTCATCGCTTTCAATCCATAAGAGAAAATTGACGTGTTTGAAATATGTCGACAAAAAAGCATATGTAGTGCCCATCGTCCTCTCCAAAGTACACATATATCTATATTATTGCCATTCGTAACAGATATCTATATCTTCGATGAACTTATGGTTTTGAGCTAGTTTGCTCGATCAGATACTTTTTTTTCCGATGAACTTACAGTAAATATTGTCTCCAAGTCGACCATTTATAACAAGTGATGATAAAAAAAGTATAAATGTTATACTATGCATACTTGAGTTCATCTCTACGAGAGTACGAGAGAGGGTTGATGGTAATTTTGAAAAGGGTGAAGTCGATTTTTGAGCCATTGAAACTTTGCACAAAGTCTATTTCTCATTCTGAACTTAAAAAAAAAGGGGTTATTTTTCAACCTCAACTTCTAAAATCGAAAAAAAAAACACCTTAGCACATACTATTTCTTTTAGTAATTTTGTTCGAAACAGATGTGGTTTTAATATTTATACCCTGATGATAACACATACTTTTTTAAGCAAACACCACTTTACTAGGTAATACAACCATAAAACTTACCTAAATTTAAATTCATGCTAATAAAAAACATGTCACCATATCAATCGTAACCACCATAAAAATAAGGTTCAACGCGGTATGCACCCAGCTTTCATAGAGTAGGGCGAAAGACTTCCAGTACAGTTCGAAGGCCAAATACATACGCCGTATTTAGTTCCAAAATAATTCTTCAAACTTCCAACTTTTCCATCATATCAAAACTTTCCAACACACACAAGCTTTCAACTTTTCCGTCATATTGTTCCAATTTTAACCAAACTTTCAATTTTAGTGTGAACTAATTAAACACAGCCATAGTTCAGAGTGTGTTCTGTACTATGGCTGTGTTCGGCACTGCCTGTTCCCATCTTCTCCTCCTCGTTTTCTACGCGTACGTTTTTCAAACCGTTAAACGGTGTGTTTTTTCAAAAAAGTTTCTATACGAAAGTTGCTTAAAAAAATCATATTAATCTTTTTTTTAAAAAATAGCTAATACTTAATTAATCACGTGCTAAACGCTGCTTCGTTTTACGTGCTAGGGAGTGAGGGCTGGGAATCCTGAACACCGCCTACATATTCCCAACATCCAACTCTTCGTTTTTCCCATACATACTTCCTAAACTGCTAAACGGTGTATGTTTGTTTTTTTAAAAAATTGTATGAAAAGTTGCTTAAAAAATCATATCAATACATTTTTGAAGTTTTGTAGTTATCATTTAATTAATCATATGCTAATGAGCCACCGCATTTTACGTGCGTGGTTCGGTCCCAACCTTCTTCTCTCCGGAACACGGTCTTAGGGGGTGTTTAGATCCAGGGGTGTAAAGTTTTGGCGTGTCACATCAGGTATTACATAGGGTGTCGCATAGAGTGTTCGGACACTAATAAAAATACTAATTACAGAATCCGTCAGTAAACCGTGGGACAAATTTGCTAAGCCTAATTAATATGTCATTAGCAAATGTTTAGTGTAGTACCACATTGTCAAATCATGGGAGCAATTAGGCTTAAAAGATTCGTCTCGCAAATTAGTCGCAATCTGTGTAATTAGTTAGTTTTTTAGCCTAAATTTAATACTTCATGCAGGTGTTCAAACGTTCGATATGACATGATGAAAAATTTTAGGGTGGGATCTAAACAGGGCCTTAACCATAAAATTTTATAAAGTGTCACAATATATTACTAGTTAGGAAGTTACACTCAAACGGTTCAAATTCAAATTTGAAATCCACCAATGGCCCTCTTGCCCATTGTTTTCTTCTTGTCCTTTTAGAGATGTTGGGTACAGAGTACAGATTAGAGACTAGAGAGAATAGACTAGCAAGCAACTGCTCCATCTTCTTTCCCTTTCATCCCTCCAAATTGCCAATCTAATCAAACACTTAAGCCTATATCCACTAATAATCCCTAATTACCACCACCCCTCCACTACCCACTTCCCCCACGACGCCGACGCCGACGAGGCAGCCAACCAACCGCCGGCGGCGGGGACGACCCGGCCCGCGATCGCGACGCCGAGCATTGCGGGTGGGTACACGGAGATATTTTCTTCCTCCCACCTCCTCCTCCTCCTCCTTTTGCTGCCCTTTCACAACTGACAAGCTCTCTCTCTCTCTCTCTTCTCTCTTTGGGGGTGGTTCTTGGTGCAGAGCCGATCTGCGGCGGCGGCGGGTGTGGGGGGCTCGAGGAGCCGCTGGTCGGGAAGAGGAGGAGGAGGAAGAACGGCCGCCCTGTGAGTTCTTCTTACTTCCCCGCTTCAGTTAAATTTCTCCCTGATTCCATATATGGTTTTGTCTTTTTTTTCTTTATCACTTCTTGGATTTTTGTAGTTGTTGTTGCTGCTCACTGCGGATGCGTGTAGTTTCTCTTGGATTGGATTCTATATAGATGTTGAGTGCTTCCTCGTTACAGCTAGTTTAGGGTGCGGAGTTTACTGTAGAGATCACACTGGGGGATGGGAATGTTTGAGTGGTTCTTGATTGACGCGAGAGCTGGTTTGCATTTTTCATTTATTTTTCTTTGCTAATGGATGTGCCTTCGGCCTCTAATCTCAGTGTTTAGTGTAATGAGATCGTTTTTTCCTCCTCATAGAGGATTGTTTGATTGCTGAGATTCTCTGTGGTTAGTGGTATGGAACCAATTTATCCTCCTAAATACCGAATTGTTAATCTGCTGGCTTCTCTGTGTTTAGTGGTACGGAACCAATTTTTCCTCCTTAATATCGAATTGTTAATTTTCGGTATGGAACCAATTTTTTCTCCTTAATAGCGAATTGCTAATTTTCTGGGCTTGGTTCCACGCTTCCAGTAGTAAGTAAGTACTGTGATTGGTAATTGTGATGTCATTACTCACAGCCACTGAAAACTTAGACATGGTCGAAGGGAAGGCATTTGATGTCATCCTTCCCCTTAGGCACAACATTGAGGTGACTCAGTTACTTGCTACCTTAAATCCTTAATGAGGCGCGACTTTCAAATGGGAGCGCAATTTTTTTTTTTAAAATTCTAGTGGTAATTGATTGATGGTGCGAACCGACAGCAACTAGCAATCTTGAAGATGCCAAAGCGTTGAGATAACTGCTGGTTGGCTTGAGTTACAGTGTTGGTGAGCCGTTTGAATATAGGCTGTGCTTGGTGGGTCCAATCTCCAGTGAGAAGCATTTTATACAGCATGCGTGCAGTGTTTCATGGATTGGTTAGTAATCTAACACAATCACGAGGAGTTTTGGTTCTTTTGGTTTAAGTTATTTTGGATCTGACTTGGTCAGGCTGGGCATTATTGTTCAGCAACTTGGTGTGTTGGTTACATTGGAGTTTCTTAGTTCTGTACAGCAAGTTGCTCTGTAATTTTTAATTCTACTGGTATGTGCAAGTGTTGATTGTCTATCTAGGAGCTTAGTGTATAGACAAAAGCTTTATTTAATCTTTGCTTTGTTCACACTTGATTCCACATGTATTTTCTGATTTCTTAGCTTCCTGTAGTTGGAGTCTTTAAGTTTTCACCCTAATTCTCTCAGTTGGTTTGCCTACCTGGGTTCAAGAAATTAACGAAGATTTCCTAGTTGCTTTGGCTTGGTTGCCTCTTTTGGTCTGCAGTATGTCAATATTTGTACTCTTTGTTGTACATTTCTTTTTCTTGTCAGATCACTTAAACTTCTCTTGACAGGCTTCTTTTGTAAAAAAAAAAAAAAACACACACACATTATTTGCACCTGAGAAAATTACTCAAGCAGGCTACCGTATGACTGACTCTTTCGTAATCAACTAATCACATTGTCATCTGGTTTTGTTTTCGGAAGTGATGAAAGGAAACAAAGCTAACATTTTTGGTAGAACGACGCTGCTGGCTGTACCACAGGTGGTCTGTTCAAAGTATTGTTTAAAATGCACATCAAATAATCAATGTACTCTGACTGTCCATTCTTTCATATGAAAGTTTTTCAAATTGGAAACAGCAAGAATTACTTCAAAAATTCATGTGTTGACAGTAAGACATTTGTACGACTGGCAATGAAGCCTTACTGTTTTTAAACACTCATCTCTGCATCCAATTCTTTACTTCCTCAATATTCTCAGAGGGGTAGGTTTATTTTGCGTGTTCATTATAGTTATCTCCTTTCCTTATTTCCTCTATATGTTCCGTCCTATCATACCTTGGTGGAGGTTTGCCCATTAGGTGGTAAATTATTTGTCTTTCTGCTTATTTTTGATGCAAAAATCTCATTGATGATTATATAGGCCTATTTAAATGATGTTTAGAAATTGGTTGAAATATAAGCAGTTTGTATATTGAAATATTGAATTAATTGGCAGATTAGTGGCAACTAGTTTCTGAGTGCCAGGTGGCTGTTTATTTTTCATTATTTTAAGGGGTAAATACCAGCATGTTGTCTGCTGGCATTCTTGAAACATGAGCAGAGCAGAGTTTTTTGACAACATTGGTAGGCTGAAATCTGACCTTAGCATATCACATTAGGTATAATTTGAAAAAAAAAAGGTCTTCTGAGTTCTCTGTTGGTTAGAACAATCATGGATGAAATGTATGAACTTCTATAGTCTTGTTATATTTTGTCTGTTCTGATGAATCATCACTAATAAAAGTTGAGATACTTTTTTTAAATGTCTCATGACTTACTGCGAGATCTGAAAAATAATCTCTGTTATCTCCATTTGTGTTCTTGTTAGCTCCTGTTATTCCTGGACCAAGAATGAGTTGTGCTAATTATTATTTCAGTTGTGGTTCAATGGATGCCCCAAGCTTTTATCTGCTTTCAACGTGTGTTCACTTTCTCAAATGATTGCAATGAGAGGGTTGTACCATAATGGTTTATGTTATATGCTGCTTGAATTTAATCCCAGTTTTCTGATTCCTACTAAAAAGAATTGGCTAAACTGGCTGATTCTGGCAAATTATTTGTCAGGCCTCAGGATCTGTAGGAATCTGTTGGCATCCCATAAGTTTGTATTGATGATCATGAGCATTCTCTGTTGTTATAAGAATTGCAAAGACTCCACTATTCTTAATTGTTAAATTTTCTTGGAAGTTGGAACATATTAACCTTTTAGAAAAAAAGTTCATTTCACTGTGACAAACTGGTGACATGCTTACCTCAGTTACAGTGTTATTTTTAAAGTTGTAACTAGTGTGCTTGGTAAACTATGTATTAAATTAATTATGTTGATAGATATTTCTTCGGGATCACCTATACATTTGTCGACAACTTTTCTTTTAAAAATTTGACAAATGTAATTATAGTACAATCGTGATGTAATCACCCTGTAACTTGCGTGTAACTACAATGTAACTTGTATGTAACTTTCAAAAATCTCTTCGTAACATGCTATTTCGGTGAAACAGAGGTCGTGGGAACGAATCCTCTTACATGTGTGCGTGCAGTGACTTTTTTCCTTCCTCACTTGCACAAATCTTGAAACAAATCTAACGGTTGAAAATTCAAAATTATGTGAAAGTTATATACAAGTTACAATGTAGTTACATGCAAGTTATAGTGTAATTACACTAAGATTGTACTGTAATTACATCTGAAAATTTGTCGACAAATATATAGCAAAATTGTATTTCTTCTTTTGTATTACTTGATCCAGAAATTTTATAAAAACCGTTCAATTCTATTCACCAGTAAACATTTCAAGGTGGAGTTGGTTAAATGGCTCAATCGCTTGGTTGTGATCATGATCTTTGCTAGAAATATCTGAAATATTGTCAAATTTGTACCAGTAATTTTCAATGCATTACCTATGGACAATATAAGAATGTGAAATGTTTTCATAAAAAGTAACCAATGCCCAATTACGTATGATTTAACTGGTCTAGTTTCTACTGTTGGTATATACTGGAGGATATAAATATTTTTGCACCATGTACGGAAGCCTATTACAAAAGGATACGTTATCTTCTTGTGGGGCGGTTGCAAATTCTGGTATTCTTAGTTTTATTTTTATTATAGTTGCATTGTATCCACATTACATGGAGTTGTTATTATAACTCTAGTTACTCACTTTGCTTTCTTGTTATGTTTGTTATTTGAAGGACACAATGGCAGATGTCTTAGGATGTTACACTATAAAGTCCCATGGAACCAAAGTGGCGAGACTTCACATGTACGACTGGATAATACTTCTACTCCTTGCTGTTATAGATGGACTGTTGAACATAATTGAACCTTTTCACCGTTTCGTCGGGAGGGACATGATGACTGACTTGAGATATCCATTGAAGGGCAATACTGTTCCCTTCTGGGCTGTTCCGGTGTGTTCTTATGATGTTTCATCTGTTAATTATATTTGTGGACTTCAGAAAGCTATGATAGTTTTTTTAACTACTTTTCTGATTTCCAGCTCATTGGAATTGTATTGCCTTGTGCCATCTTTGGTGGAATTTACTTCAAAAAGAAGAATTTCTATGATTTGCACCATGGCATACTGGGTATTTTACATATTCTTGATCCTACCATTAAGTTGATAATATAAATAAAAAGGAATAATGCTTGACATTTTTTTTTTGGTAGGGATCCTATACTCTGTGCTTATAACTGCGGTAATCACAGATGCAATTAAGGATGGTGTGGGTCGTCCACGCCCAGATTTTTTCTGGCGCTGTTTCCCAGATGGAAAGGATGTAAGGTTCTTAGGCTAAAAACCTAAAGTGCACTTTTCTTCAAGCATGTTTGTGTTGATCTTCTCATTATTCAAATGTTTTATCTTTCTGAGTCTTAGTGGACCAGAACTCACTGAAGGACCTTCTTTCCAGGTTTATGATAATGTCACTACTGGTGTCATATGCCATGGAGAGAAGAGTGTCATCAAAGAAGGTCACAAGAGCTTTCCAAGCGGGCACTCTTCATGTAAGTGGTGACATACATAATCAACATACCTTTTTGTCCCGTTGTGCCTTTGGTAAATATTGACTTGTACATTATCATAGAGATGAAAATCATATATTCCTGAGGTACGGTAGTCACAAATTCTTCCCCATACAAAGGAAATGCTTTTGGCACAAGGTGTGCTGGGAGCTGGGAGCAAGAGATGACTAGCTCTAGGGCTGTAAATGCAATTGGTTCGGTAGTTTGCAGTGTCTGGCTTAGTGACAATAATGTGACTTGGAATCAGGAGCTTACGATCGCTTTGAGGCCTCAATTGGGCGTGGGCAGGGACTTCTTAATGCAGAAGCTAGTTTGGTGCAATGGTGGTTGGGAGCCAGCCGGCAATGTAGATAACTATGCAAGTAAGGCAGTGGTGTGATGTTGAATGGGCCTTCAATGTAGATACTTGGCTGCCAATGGAGTAGGGACAGTTGATCAGTATGTAGTATCAAGCATTTGGTTTCTTTATGCATACACCATTATGGAGTTGCATAGCCTGTAGCTGGACATAACTTGCTTACTGGCCTTATCGTGACAGTATGTGATTTCCTAGTGACCATACCAAGTTGCATTCCTTCAGTAGTGTATGCATATGTATGGTAGTGTTCCTACAATTATGTCATATGGTGCTGTGGCCAGACTATCTAACATTTTTGTTTTTGTTTATTTACACAACTCCAGGGTCTTTTGCTGGTCTAGGCTTCCTTGCATGGTACTTAGCTGGGAAGATCACAGTTTTTGATCGTAGAGGTCATGTTGCAAAGCTATGCATAGTATTTCTGCCTCTTCTTACTGCTGCACTTGTGGCTGTTTCTCGAGTGGATGACTACTGGCATCACTGGCAGGATGTATTTGCAGGCTCTCTGATAGGTTTGCAATTTCAATAATATAACAATTATATGCAAGAGGTCCTAGCACTATCTAAAAGGAAAAAAAAAATCCACAACCATTTCTTGATTCTGGCATTTCTCCTGTTGCAGGTCTTACAGTCGCATCATTTTGTTATCTGCAATTCTTCCCATATCCTTATGACGCAGACGGTACCTCTTTTTTTTTCTTCTTTTACCTATATAATTCTAGATAACTGACATCACAAAAGATGGTAACATTCCCCTTTTTTTTGCAGCTTTCTGGCCTCATGCATACACCTTCCAGCTAGCGGAGGCCTCGCGCAACAATAACACCGCAAACTCCTACAGCGTGAGACCGACCGGGTTCGAGACTGTCAATGTCCCAGAAGGGCATGGTGGGATTGCTCTGAGAGACACCAACCTAGAGGCCGGCAGGAGACCGTGAAATCTGAGACCTGGACTGGAGAAAATCTACCAAATACCATGACAATATCCTGACTTTACGAGTTCGAATTTTGTCCACTCGACAGACGATATGGTAGGCTGTGTTCATATATGTATTACAGTTGTATCTAGATCTGCTGTTTCATCACTTCTGAATTGGTCTCTTGGCTTCCATGGTTTTTGTTTTCTGCTAATGGGATGGCTAGCCCCAGAAGCATTGGCTGTAAACAATCTAGTAGACGCTCTAAAATTACATTGTACATTAACTCTGCTTATTTTGGGTTTGGTCAAGATAGGGTTGTGGTCATAATTGTTATGCTTATGTATGCTCTCTCTGCATTACAGATTCTGAGAAACGGTGTAATGAAATTTGGACTTCCTCGATGTGATGAACGTGAGAATAACCCAATTACATTGATATATGTTGATTTTGTTATCGTCTATCAAAGTGTCAGAAATGCTACGTTTTGCCTTGGGTAAAAAAAAAAAAAAGAAAATCTGTTCGCCTATAAAAGTGGCTGACACAAGTTTTCAGAGCTGAGCTAAGTCGAAAATTCAGGTTCCACAGAATTAAACAGTTATTCAAAAAGAAATATAAACATCGAGTGGCGTTAAATTTCGAGTAAATTGTTTTTTAACATGACTTTCGTTAACCATAAACCCCTAAATTAAGCAACCATGATTCTCTGAAAGTGTGGCGGAGAGTTTTTGCGCTGTTGTTTTTGATGATGCGCTTACCTGCGCTGTTATCAGTAATCAGGGCCTATTATCCCTTTGAAATGTTTTGCTGGGAGATAGGGGTCTTCAGTTTTTCTTTTTCTTTTTTTTTAACCTGATGACGTAGTGGATTCAGAGTTCAGAGTGAGTCAAGCTGACTGTTGTTAGTCATTTTACACTTCTGTTGAACGCTGGCAAAAATCCCATATATAAGATCATGGCTTCCTTAAAACCAGACAAATGAAAATGAAAATTTGCCATCTTTCTCTCTCTTTTAAAGAAACAGACCGCATGAGCTCTACTAGATAGGGACAGTAATTTTGCCCACGGGCGTGGGTATCCGTGGATACCCGATCTGATGGGCACGGACATGGGTGTAATATTTTACCCGTGGATACGCCCGCCCGAGACCCAAAAACGTAGCGGGCAACAGTTGGGGGTATTATTTTTTGCTCGTTGGTAATACCCGACCCTATACATATGTATTAGTTAATTTTAGCAATCTCTTAATTTCTATACCTCTTTTTCTTGGCCCATCAACCAAGGACATATATATACTCAACTAGAAACCCTAACCTAATTCCCCACTTCCTTCTCCTACCCCATCACAATGCGGCGGCGCAGGCAGAAGGTGGCGCTGGGAGGTTAATGGCGGCGGTGGCAGAGCGGGCCAGCGAGGGCAAGCGATGGCGAAGGCGTAGGCCAGCGCGGGTCTGTGGCGGCTCAGTGTTATGACGGCGACGGTAGGCAGTGGCGCCGGGTGCCGCTAGGCATCTAGCGGGCATGCCTGTACCCGGTGGTTATGGGTACGGGCACAATGTTTTGCCCGCTAACCTTGTCGGGCATGATTCGGGTGGGGACTATCGGGCATCGGGTCGGGCATGGTTTTGCTTTGCTCGTGCCCGACCCGACCCGTTGCCATCTCTACTACTAGATATATTAAGAATGAGTAAAAGAGTTCAGAAAATAAAAGAGTTCATAGAATTTACGGACCGAACAGAGTACATCATGGTGGGTCAAAAGCTAGAGTACGCTGATCAACAAGGATCAAGTTTAATTAGAACTCAGATTTCATGGGAAGAGATCTCCTGGAAAATTCTTTTGTTTCTTTCTCATGGAAAATTTGTCGTCTTTTGCATGACAGATTTTGAATATAATCCGATCCTTATACTAATTATATATTCTAGGAAAAATTTTAAGTACAGAGAGTCAGAGAGTATCTAATCTCTATATATCTAATTCAGGTTAATTACGATGTCTAGATTTGGTCTAGAAGCTGAATGTATCTTATGGATGGAATCATTTGTTATTTCCAGAGTTTAAACTTTGTTTTAAACTAAGTTGTTCTCTACCCTCTTGTCTATACTCGATACTCCTTATCTACGTACCTATCAACAATACTATTTTTTATTAAGATACAATGAATATAGCTACAGTAAAAAATGGCATTGTGTTGTATTCCACTTTAAGGTACTGTAGCTGGAGCACACGTTACTATTTTTACATGGCAACTAGGCCTCTATGTTAATCTTTTGCAGAGAATCTATACATATATACACAACTATTTTTAAACGAATAATGATGATTTAGGGGGGAAATATAATGAGGAAGAAGACCAAGCTAGTGGTGAATGTAGGACAAATTGAGGTGCCATGGGGCAAAACATAGCACAAATTGAGGTGCTATTTTAATAGAACTAGGAAGGTAGCCCGCGCATTCACGCGGGCATGCGTCGTACGCTAACTATGCGACATTTATAAGAGCGAAATATTAACCGGAGAACAATTGTCACGATTTCTCCATAAATTGTTTTCACCGGTATTAATTGCTTATATAATTTTCTAACCTATTACTTTTATGTTATATCATATTTAAATAATATCTATAAGCAATTATTTATAATCTTCTTCAGCATTTGAAAAGAATGTAGTCTTATTTTCTTTAGAAAATATGTCAACGAAAGTAAAAGTAATGTGTTTTCTTTTTTTTTTAATTGCATATATTATCATGGTTTATTAGAGGATGAATTGGGTGGGACATGAGGCTTCACTAAATGTATAGATTTATATAGCCTAATATGATTGATGTAGTTTGAGAGGTGATCCATCCATGAACATTTTCATTTAGAGTAGGTCAGAGGCTCCACACAACCTAACATGAATACGATAATGACGAAATATAGTTGCGCAATAATATTTTTGAAATGTGATGTCCCATGAATACACGCTTGTTTATTATATAACATAGATATAATGGTTAGAAATAATAATGGTTCCACCAATTTAAAAGGCATAGTAGTATTCCAAAATTATTGTTTTTAATATCCAATATTATTGCGAAGTGAGTGTAGCTCAACTGGTTATGTTCCTTGTGATGGAACATGCCCACCCAGATTCAAGTCTTAGACTTGACACGGGTGCTCGCATTTACAGCTAATTATTCCCTCAATGCTGACATACCCGTTGCAGCGAGACGCTCGTGGCGAGACGCTCGTCGGCCTAGTCTTTAGGAGATACTCATAGGGGTAGGATGTGTGTGTGCGTTTATAGGGGTGAGTGTGCACATATTGTGAGCGACTGCGATTGTATGGTGTTTCTTAAACAAATACCCAATATTATAGATTGTTTCTCTCTGTGTGTTTTCATAAGGGTGAGGGTGCGCACATTTAGAGCGCATGCGTTGTATAAGTTTTTCTTAAGAAAATGAATATTATTGATTGTTTATCTTTAAGTTTAATAGCTAAAAAATAGGGACATGACGGACGGTGTTTTGTGCATGTGAGGGTGGGGAGGAGGTGGAGGAGATTTTATTCTTCTAATTTTTCTATATTATTTAAGTGAAATCCGATGATGGGGTGTTTCATTTTTTCTAAGAATTTCAAAGATTATTTCCCTTTTTATAGGAGGTGACACATGGCAACTTAAGATTTTCTTAAAAATAGATCTAATAGTTAAAAATAATGGATACAACAATTTAATTGGATTATTTTAGAATTTTAGGATATTATACACGATGAGTTATGAGCGTTCTGGAGGGGCGTTTATTGATTTTTGTTATGTACAATGATTTAGTACAACGTGTTACATATTTTCAATTAATTTTTCATTGTTATTTAATTGGCATGCAAACGATAGTGTCTACCTTCAAATGATGTATTTTTTATTTTATATAGTAAAATATAGCTAATGTGATCTTGATTTATTTATTTAGTTATAAAATAAAACAATAGCTATGAATATTTTTATATTATGTTAATTTAAAAAAAATAGAAGATGGGATAATTGAGCTGGAGAGGAGAGGATGGGAGAGTCAAATAGGGAGGGTCAGATGTATATGTAAGGCGAGAGGATACGGAGAGATTATTGTTTTTCAAGATAGATCGAATGGATCCTATAAATACAATTTATCTTATGGCTATTAGAAATACTTTGGGTATTGTATTTTCTAATTAAACTAATTAAATTTTTCTAATTTAAGTGCATGTTATTAATCAGAATGTTTAAAAATCTATTTGATTTTTTCTTAAAAATATATGGATCAGTGAACAATAGCTTGCCTGTAGAATATATATGTCCCAAAGTAATGAATTTCTATAATAATATTAGCTATATGAATTTAATAATATATGTCCCAAACTTGGATCTTCAATCTTAAAATATTTTATAGTAAACAATCTAATGGAGTGTACAAATAAAAAATTAGCTATATGATTTAGATAATACAGTGTTTAAAATTTGTTATCATAAAATATTTTTTCCATCTATCTTAAAAGAAGAAAATAGGAGAGAAAGGAAATAGGTGGGGAGGTATGCACGCACGTACTTACTGGACGGGCGGGGATGAGATATGCGGGCTTTTTTTGTCCTTTTCTTTTTGGCTAAATAAATATAATGACAAAAAATAATTGGTAAAAAAATATATTTTCCACCTTTCTAAAAGAGGAAAATAGGAGAGAAAGGAAATAGGTGGTATTCCTTTTTTAATTGGACAAATAATTTAATAGTAGAAAACAATGGGTCCACTGTATACAGAAAATGGACGGCCAAATGTTTTGTTTACTCTCAAAATTTTTGTGATCTTTCTAATATATTAAAACGTCATGCGGCGACGTAGGAGCATTTGTAGGAGTGCTACGTGGCGTCCTGAGTACGTTTATAGGATATTTAATCGACTTTTAGTATATAATAGATGATATTAAGAGGAAGCAGGCTAATGTAAAGGTATAAAATAATGGATCATTAATTTAAATATAGTACCACGTGAGATTATACAGTGCCACTGCCACGTGATGGCCTAAGAGCGCTTATAGAAGCACCACGTAACTATATTTACAGAGTAATAAATTTTATTTTTTATAATATTGAAGATTATATTTTAAAAAGACCGTCTATTTTTTTCCGATGGTTATAAGATCGTACATATATTTTCCTTTAGGGTTTTATAGCATTTTTTTTATCTTGCATTCACCTTACATACGTACGTACGTTCCTTTTATTTTTCCATCCAAGGGAACAGTTTATCAATGTTTTTTTTTGTATTTATAGGTTTTTTTATCGTACACACGTACGTTCTTTGTTTCTTTTTTTAATAAACAGTACCTAATGATCATATACGTACGTAAATATTTTCATACTTATACGTATGTAAGTATTTCCATCTTACGTAACTATTTTCATGTATATAAGTATTTCCGGTAAATGGCTTG